GGGGATACACAGGATACATCGGGGATACAGAGGATACATCGGGGATACACAGGATACATCGGGGATACACAGGATACATCGGGGATACACAGGATGCATCGGGGATACAGAGGATACATCGGGGATACACAGGATACATCGGGGATACATAGGATACATCGGGGATACACAGGATACCGGGATACCACAATCCGCTTTTACCCCCTTGCTTATTATTCTACGAATCTTTTTTATGCATAAACGAGTAACCCGTTCCTAGCTTGAATTAACCAACGGGATCAAATCAGTTCCTGTAAAATGTCCAATTTAATTCTAAATTGAATAGACTTTTAGAGTTTGCGTCTTAAAAATATCATAAATGTAGTCGGGAAATTATGGATGAACTTTGAGTGAAATGAAATGTAAACTTAACTAGTTGATCAATAGCATGAACCACAACTTATGTGGGAGTCAGTTTTATATTCCTGTGTTCTCTTACAGAGAACAAAAAGCAAATACACAAGCCATGCATGTATACCAATTCGAAAGCAGAGGAAGCACTTGACCGTAAAAGAAGTATCACAAAAAAGAACATCGTTATCAACTGAATATAAGACTTTGATTCTCGATGAAGGCAAGCATTCTTAGAAAATAGTTTCATCAAATGGATCAATGACGGAGTTCAATCAATATATTGTTTTACATTTTCAGGGATGTGACGAACAGAAAAAATATGGGGTGATGCAAAAGAAATTTTTTTCAAACTTCAGGGTGTACTCAAGAAATTTTTGGACGTAAGAGGATGTACTTACAAAATTTTTAATTGTTGGGGTGGTGCAAATCCTCATTTTTCCTTTTGTTGATCGTTTTTTTAATAAAAATACAGATTTTTGCTGGAAAATAACGAAAATTTTCAAAAGTTGAGGTGGTGCGCACCATCTCACACCTCGTGGTCGCCACAACCCTGTACATTTTACATAGTTCATTCAAAAAGAAAAAGACATTATTTTTTTGTTAATGCAATAATTAAATGTATAATGCTACTATATCAATCACGATGATAGATCTTCAAACAGGTTTTTTTCTGCTTCCCTTCTCGCGTACATACAGATTAACCATCTTAGAGTTCTAGACGATGAGAAAAGTACATGAGTATTAATTATTTGACTCTCATCTTATATAATCTTTAACATCTGAAAAAATAGTAGCTAAATTCTAAAAAGATAGGCTCTTTACGAAGCCTGTAAAATAAGAGTCTGTAGACTTCAAAAATGAAATTTTCATTATTCCATAGCATTAACAGGAGCGAGCTCTATTTTTCACCATGATGTGAAGTTTTATATACGTATATAGTACGTGAGGCGACGAACAGTTTGTGACATTGTTTTTACTATCTATTGTTCCAATTATAGATAATTAGAAAATCTCTTCTCAGTAGGTATGGTAGGTTATTTCAATTTTGGCAATCGTGCTGAAATATTATCAATAAGAATAGTCGAATATTGTCTCTTAAGCTCTGTACTTTCTAAAAGACTTTCTCTTCTGTTCGCATTGGACTACTGGGACAGACATAAGGTGATGTTAGTAAAATGTTGACGGATTCGTGCTCAATGTTTGTCATTTTTCTAAATAGCCTTTATATGTCATTTTTAAGCATTTCATCTTTGAATATTATTAGTCGATGATAACAATCACGATGATTATCTATTTTTGATCTGTCTAAATCTACTGCTCACTATAGAAATTCTTTGTTGATGAGCGTCTTTTTAATGTACACTGCCCTTACCTGGTGCAGTTTCTCTTGATTCACGAGTTGATGAATTCACCATTCTTCTTTTTATTTTCTCAACTGCATGAACCAACCATGGGATGATCAATCGAAAGATAGTATTTAAACCACTGATGAGGCCCACTATAGAAGTAATAATGCTAAGTACTGTACTGCGATGTATATATGAATAGGTACATGTCAAAGGTGAGCATTGTTCATATAAGATTTCTTCAGAGTAATCTAAAACTAATTCTTCTACCATGCTTTGGCTCATCAAATCGTTGAGAGTATTTTGTGGAGAGAATCTGCTTGGCAGACTCGAATTCAGAGGTAAGAAAGATGACGCATTCGGTACGAGAAGTTCAATACATGATAAATCATAGTAACACTCGAGCGTCGATGCCAGTAAACCATTGAATGGATAACAATCTATTCGCATACCCTTGACTAATGTTCTGTTTCCGTTCACAGAGTAAATACTGCCTACTGGGTTTGCCACATTAAAATAGATAGCAGCAGGTGTTACACATGATAATGATGTTAGACATGAACATATTGAACCATCGAGCATTTCATATTGGCTACTAGCTATAAGAAGTTGATTTGTTGCTTCGGGGCTTATATAGACGATAGCATTAGTACCGTGTCCACACATAAATTCTTCAGTCACAATTGTAAATGTCAAAATACTAAGGATTTCCGTCATCTTAATTCGCAGAGAATTATCGATGTTACGGATAACATCCTGAACTTTGAGATTCATAGTAGCTGAAGACGTGGCCATGAAGTTTAAAGAGAGATCATTAAGATACCACTTTAGCGTACCGTTAAAAAATAATTGACTCATTTCACATAAGTAGAAGAGAGCTTGAGCATACGAGCTGGCTACTGTCCGTATATCTATTGGTGTAGTGTAAGATGGATCAGCTGTAAACGTGGCCATCGTCCACTCTTGACTTATGAAGGGACTCAAACACACCTAAAAATATAATTCTTACTGCATGTAACTATTGAACCATGTTCTACGCTAATTGCACATGAAATATGCTACCGTTTATGCTGCTTTATAAAGAAAACGTTTCAAAGAATACAAGCCGAAAAATGACAAGGCATCGTCAGACAATTATATTAGTCTATTGCAATCTTATACATATTTGAGGATAGTTGAAAGAGCTATTCGACATTGAAAACATTCTTTGGTAGATTTTCAATATTTCACATGTGAAAAGTGAGTGTTTGTCTTACTACATAGATGCCTTGTTCATTTTTTCACAAAAGATCCTTATAGAATGCTGAGATAGTTGCACACATTGCTATCAAGGATAACAGCTTTAAGTGGAGCTCGTCGTCTTCAGAAAGTCAAAATAATTTTTCTTGGATTTTGCGCTTTTTCTGATATCAATATGTTAAAATGCGTTTTATCAGTCTAAAACTGTAAGAATTCCCATTCAGCTGTGCATCTTTATTGCCTTATAAATGGTGCAATGATACAGCAATCTAGTGGTGCAAGAACTCTAAATTTGCTGCAATATCAAAGCTCCAAGAAGTTCTCATTTCTTCAACACTTTAGAAAAGACTGTGTTGAAACTGTTTCAGATTTACTAGCCGCTATTTCGGTTCGGTAAAGTTTTTATTTTAAAAGTTGTTGCTCCAATAACTGTTGGTAGCTGTAATAAAATTACTACATGAAAGAAAAATACGCATTTCTAACAAAGTTGCATACCCAGGTCAAGCCTAAGAGCATCGGATACGGTCAGATTAGATATCATTTCTATTGGTTCTTCTCGGAAACTATAAAAATCTTTGCGGCCAGATTCCAACCTTCTGATTCGATGGGATCTGCACTGGATTTGACCGGATTTTTATCGGAATTTATAGTATTTTGTCGGAATCTAGCCACATGGATGGCTTCTCCTGAGTTATTCTTAAGTTTTCATTGAAATAGAAGACAATAGAACGAAATCTAAAAACTCACCTGCCCAAAATAGTGTCTATTGGTAGAGTGGAAAAAATTTCCCTTAGATTTCATCTGTCATATCTCGGTTCAGTATAACTTTTCCTGTATATCTGAAAAACCGTTCAATGTTGAGAATTTCAAATTTCTCAACAAGCTATTGTCTGCGAATTCTTAGACAGTATTCTTTATATACTATTAAATGAGCAATCTCATTGAGAAAAGCTGTTAGCATAATTTTTAAGGATATTAAAAATGTGAAACACGATAAACCTATTATTATTTCTGATTGTAGCATAATGCGAGAAGAAATGCTTTTGTTTATGGATGAAAACGTTATATGAATTTTTATTTTAGAAAGTATATTTCATTTATTGATATGTACTGTCTTTCTAAGTTCTGTATTATAAAGTTTCTTATAAAGCAATGTATTGTCACATAAGATATTTTTCTCTTGTACTCAGATTTTTAACAGAACAGTTGACAATATAGAATAACGGCTATATAAATAGTTACATATTGGTTAGTATCTTTTGTATTAGTAATCGCTACATCAGTGATTTTAAAGCATAGGCTGTTATTTTTAGTCTCGTCGACAATCATATAAATATGGTAGCCGTTTAAATCGATTTTCATACCATTCTATTAAGCTTTCGCGCCCTCAAAACTAGATTGCCATCTAAAGAACATTCAAAGCAACTGAGATGTGGAGGATACATTGAAGCTATTGTGGAGAATCTATGATAAAATTTTCAGCCCCAAATCTGCATGCTTAAGGGAGATATAGATCGAACAAGGGTCAAAGATGGCTAATTTAGCATTCAAAATTTTAATTTTGGCAATTTCAACATGCTCGTTTGTTTTGTTCGTTCGAAAGAACTTGAAAAAAAACGACAATACCATCTCCTACCTTTTGAGATGTTTTTTCGAACGAAAAAGAAAACTAACATGTTGAACATGCCTAAACCAAGAATTTTTGAACGCGCGTACCAGAAACATAAAAACAAAAAAAAACGAAAACATTTTATGGATTTTTTAAAAATCACTGATTTTTGGAATGGGAGTTGAGGAAAATCTGTAGAGATTTGCTACCAAAAGAGCATATTAGGAAAAAATTTTGGCAGATATGAAAAAGCAGAACACGGATTATCTCTGCATGTATTAATCTCTATTTCGGTAATTTTCATGGACACCGATTTTATTGAGAGGGGGCTGACGTTCGCATTGCCAATGTATGTAACATGAGTGAATTCTAGTCAAGGCTCAATATCTCGATCTCGATATTTGCAACTGGGACGTTACTCCACCAACGTTTGGCTCCCGATGAACGTTGACTCATAACGGCACTTAATGGAATTCTTATCACTGATAAGTACCACATGCAAAAGAATGTAGTGATCATCAATGTATGCCTTTCTTTAATTAAAGTAAATATGGAAACTTCGGATTTTATCTGGAAGTTATGTGTACTGTAAAAAATTTATGAGACAAATGAGGCATTATACAATATCTAGGCACCACAAACTATCATGGGAAATGTCTTCAATGAGAACGATTTCTGTTAACTATTACCTATCCGAATGGATTTATAGTCGAATACAGCTCGATTTGAACTCTCTCTCTTCATTTACCCTAAGGCTACTATTTTGCTCACAACTTGATTTTTATTGGTTGCTGCTCAACCAATAGAGTTTCGAGGCAAGTTGAGTACAGATTCGAATTCTCCGACCCAGAAAATCTCAAAGCAGCAGATCTGTGATCAGAAGATAGAGCTCTATTTGTAGAGTCAATGAGACTGTTGACAACATTGGAACCACTTCCTACATAATTATGTTTGCTATATTGACGATTTAGCCTTATTATTTCTTTACATACTATACACCATATTGTAGCTCGTAGAATCCTCTATCGAATGATATATAATACATGGGATTTGATTCGACTTTGATAGAAAAGTTTCTTATGAAAACAGCGATATATCGATTTTTCCATAGAAAAAACACAGGGAAGAATGAGTATCTTTGCAATAAATCATGAAGGATTGGTCCAAGCAGGCTCAACGTCGAATCGGACCGAGATATTAATGAGACTAAGCAGTGTAGAAAATTTCATGACGATCTGACTCTCCTTTCGAAAGTTATCGTGTAAATAGACGGACGGCCACACAGATCGGTTCTTGAAGTGCACTCACTTTTGAAGTACATGAAAAAGGTTTTATTCTAGTAAAACAACAACATGTGTTTCCAACGCACTTACTAAAAATGTGTGTCAAGTGCGAGAATAATCATTCGAAAACCTTTGTTTTTCTAGGTAAGTACCAAAAAAAGTAACCTAGCATACAAAGGGATCATTCAGGAACTGTTCGAACTTTCATAATAGAAACTCAACGTCTTTCATTTCCAGAAGAAGGAGAAGATTTAGTCATCTTCGAATGCGATTATCGTGCCGTATGTTCTGAAGCCTTCTATGGGTAAGCTGTTTCTGCCAGTAATGGGCGAGTTCAAGACGAAGCGCATATTCAAAATTTCAGAACGCTGACTCGATGGTTTTAATGGAGTCGCTTCGAGTCAATTATTCAAGAAAAGCCAGTTGACTAACAGAAATGCTTATAGCAATTAAAATTAAGCTCTTATTCAGCGATAACTTGGTAATTGAATACATATTCTCGGAGGAATCTCCAAGAGTTATTTCTAAGTTTGTTTTCTGTGTCAAAAATTGTCGTGTTTGAGTTAAAGGAACTATTGTAATTTTATCTGAAACTTAAACTTAAAGTAGAGTTTTTCAGAAAAATGACTTCTAAAAAACAAAGTCCATGTGAAAAAGTAATTTTCTTCTCAAAAAATGTACTTTAAGTTCAATTTTAAAATATTATATACTTTAAATGGGGCTTTTAGCATTATCAGTAATTCTGTTCGACTGAAGAAAACACTCGACTTGCGCATTCGTATTTCAGACCAAAAGGCTCACTTGGGTGGGCAGGTCAAGAAAAATTAGATCATCGGCTGACAATCCTGACTGGGTTCATTTCACGAACCGTTAATCTTACTCTAATTTTTCCAAGCGGCACATTGATCATCCATCCAGATGCAAGTAGTTTATTATCATTTACTATAACTATAACTTTGTTTCATGAAAAAATAACTACTATCAGTTACTTACAATGCCTAAATTCAGAAAAATCTGTTAAAAGAGTTGCTTGAAGAATACTCGTGACCAGACAAACCAATTTATAAGACTTCATTGGTCAAACCTTTAAAGTGACCAATTTTCTGTTTCTTTTGTGAAACACGATCTGAAAGGAGTGTTGCAGTGTAAGGGTAGAAATTTGCACCCCTCCTCCTCCCCACAGCCATCACGGACATTGTGGCAGCTTGGTGTCACAAACGTGACAGACATATGCAATATTGCTTGTCAGAAGCGTAACAGACATTCTGATGAGAAGATATTAGAGGCGTGACAGATATCTTGCCCACACAAAATGAAGGATTTCAAGCTACCCCTTACCTCATTATAGACCTTAGCAACCCAGTCTCAATAAGCTTGGGCCTGAGCTCCCTGCTACCCTTCATTGCAAATCACAGGGGCCGAGGCTAAAGGAACATTTGTATTGCTATGCAAGACGGAAACACGCAACAATGATTAAGATATAGATTTCCCTAGCAACGAGAGTATGTGACGGAGACAATCACACAGCCATTATATGTGAAAGGTTAAAGGGTATATTTCCATAGAAACCCAGGCTCACTAAGCTT